AGCGGACTCTCCCCAGTACTTGGTCTCGTCTTGTTTGCTGCATGGAGGGACATCATGCATGGTTCTCACAGCACAGTGATTGCCTCTCCCGGTTGATCTTTTTGCAGATCTTGCTTAATGTAAGGTCCTGCCTCGACTCCTCCTCCCAAGAAAGCAGAACTCTTGAAAAAGGCATTGTTTCAAAAGGAACTTTTATTGGGAGATAGTGATAGTAAGAGAGCAAAGCAAGATCTAAAGTTTCCTGCACGAATTGCTACATTAAAACTTTCATTTTACAAAACCCTACCCCAGAGCCCAATTGTCCAGTTCACATCCAGCCACTCCACAGGTGCAAAGTTGTTATGAGAACCGGAGCTAGTAAGGGACGGTTCCCAGGCGCTTCACTGGATCTCGCAACAGAGTGAAGATAAGGTAGATGGCCCCTGGCATATTCCATTCTCCATTTCACACCCAAAGAGATACATCAAAGTTGAGAAAGAACAAAGTAGAGGAAATACAATCATAAGTCCCCCTCCCAGCCAAGAAAAACCTCCCCCTTTCACTAGAATGGCAGAGCTCTGAAAAGAGACATTAAAGGGGTTCCTGACATTGTTTCTTATTTGAGCAGCTAGAGTTTTCAGCTTTGATAAATTGGGCACTTAAGTTTCTGGAAGCTAGAATTAGTGTTCACACCCAATTTACTGCAGCTGTATTACTAGTTTTTTCCTGGATTCAGTTATAATGCATTTGTTTACTTGCTTTTTCCTCTTACTGTCATAGATTAGATTGCTATGTGATGGCATAGAACATAAATCACTACAAGGATTTTTCATATTTTTCTGTTTTTCCAACATGCAGTTTTTGCCAAATTAACATTCAATAGTTTTTATTGCAGGTAAGAATTTTTGCCTAGGCTTGTTGACTAAAAGATGGAATAATCCCAAGGAAACTGGGGTAAAATACCTTAATGGGATTCATATCCAAAATAGAAGTGCATAGATGTATCAGGTACATACTTTACCCAAATGTAATTACTTTGGAGACTGAACCAGGAAATCTGTGATTCAAATTTGTCTACAAGGTTCTGTGTTTCAAGAAAGCATTGCACCCTTCACTATAAACCAGACTATTGTTAGGAGAGAATACCCTATCTTCTGTTTATCTGAACATCCAATGGGTGTTCAAATAATCATCTGATGTCAAGGATGGCTTCAGGCTTAGCACAGAATATGGCAATTCATTATTTTTTGTAATTGTAGGCTAATTTACCTCTGGCCATTTTTAGAAGTCTACTCCATCCTGTTTTTGTTTTAATGAGGCCCATTACTATAACAAAGATTACATTACTGTAATTGCTCTAGATTTTGATTATACTAGGAGAGAGTGACACTTGTTCAGGCTATCTAGAAGTGAGGGGGTTTGTACATGCGGGCATTACATTTTGTGGAGACTGGCCAAAATTATTATAAAAGGAATTGTTGCAGGTTTTCACACTTGCTGGAAACTGAACCCTTTTTCCTTAAGAATTAAAAAAAAAATAGGAAAATGGTTCTCTGGAAATGATTAAGAAAAATGTTATGGAGAACTCACTCATGAAATGAATCAACAGCGTATTTCAGGAATTCTGATCCTGATTTTCCCATATCTTGCCAGCCAAGTACAACTCCAACAATTTCCAGCAGCCCATCATGGACTACCCTGAATTGAATTTTTTAGAATCGTAGACTTAGAACATTAGCAGTTCCTCAAGATGGAGAAGGCTGGAGTAAACAGATTTGAATAGACAGGTTGCTCAATTTCGTAGGTGCCTCCTAAGGAATTGTTCTATTTTATTATGTTCCCTAATTAAATACATTTTAATACTAATAATAATAATAATAATAATAATAATAATAATAATAATAATAATAATAATAATAATAATAATAATAATAATAATAATAGTAATAGTAATAGTAATAGTAATAATAATAAAGTTGGAAGGGACCTTGGAGGTCATCAAGTCCAACCCCCTGCTCAGGCAGGTAACCCTATACCAAATGGCTGTCCAGTTTCTTCTTAAAAACTTCCAGTGTTGGAGCATTCACCGCTTCTGGAGGCAGGTTGTTCCACTGATTAATTTTCATGTAAATTCCTGAAGAAAGACAATTTGTCTGTAATTTTGGTTTAGAAAAATAAGATTTTCCAATTTGTATTTCTGCAAGTAGTGTTTATTTGCAATTTCTATTGTTTCTCTGTACTCTAACAGTATTCCCTTTTCATTTCAGGACTGGTCTATTAGTCTTATAACAGCATCTTTGGCTGGAGCCTTTGGATCCTCCTTCCTCTATGGTTATAATCTCTCTGTGGTGAATGCACCAACAGTGGTGAGAAAATGATTTTTTAAAGTGTAAAATCAGTTTGGTGCAGTGATGAGATGTAGTAAGAGAAAGTTTATGCAGTATTGGGAAACAGGTCTACACTTGTTTTGTGTTCCTTGTTTCCTTGTCCAGCTCTAAATGGGCTCTTTCTCAGCAGAAGAGCAATGAAGATGTTTTTAGGCAACCTGATTAAATTCTCTGAAGTTACATCCCCCATGTACGAACATTCATTTAGCAAGTTTTCACAAAAACAAATTTATTCAGAAAGGGTATTTACATTAGAAATTCAAAATTGCGACCAAAATGAGGCCTCTGTAGCTATGCCCCATCACTGAAAACTTTTAAATTCACTTTGAAGTAATTAATATATCTCACAATTGGTATTTTCTTTTGATTTTTTCCCTTTTTAAATTTAATAAAGAGCAAGAGGGAATCTATTCCTTCAATGAAAGCACTATTCTTCTGATTTTCCTTTTCCTTGCTTGCATAATTTGCATAAGACTGCATATCAACATCCATATGTTTATCCTTATTGTTTTTATACATGTAGCCCTCAATGAAATTGGCTTAAACTACCTGTGGCTACAGGTAGTCCTTGACTTATAACCATTCATTTAGTGACCGCTCAAAGTTACAACAGCACTGAAAAAAGTGACTAATGACTGTTTTTACCTTACAACTGTTGCAGCATTGCAGCATTCCCATGGTCACGTGATCATAATTCAGATGCTTGGCAATTGGTATGCATTTATGATGGCTGCAGTGTCCTCAGAACATGTGATTACTTTTGCACCTTTTGACAACAAAGTCAATAGGAAAGCCAGATTCACTTAATTGTGTTACTAACTGCAGTGCAATGCAGTGATTCACTTACAACTATGGCAAGAAATGTCATAAAATCGAGCAAGACTGACGTAAGAACTGTCTTGCTTAGTAATAGAAATCTTGGGCTCAACTATGGTTGTAAGTCAGGGGTCTTCATTCTTGGCCCTTTTATAACTTGTGGACTTCAACTCCCAGAATTCCTCAGACAGCAGGTCAAGTTTGAAGACCCTGTTGTAAGTTATATAGAACTATCTATATAACAACTCTTGTTCAAAGAGGTTAATATAGCATCACTGATCATGGATCGCTCTGACTCATAATACTTCCATTATTAATTTGACATATAAACAATTATAAAAGAAAAGCTGAAATAAACTCTTACTCTCAACATTATTAACAAAGCAATATTACTTAAATATGCTATTATGGCCTCAATTTGTCATTAAGCAAAGACTTAGATTTGAGCTATCTGAGCAAAATGATCACGACTTTTTAGAAAGGGCCTATTAAACAAATGTTTCTTAAAGTATGGTCCAAGACTCTCCAGGAAATCGAAATTATTTGCCAGATATTTGCAAAAATTTAAAACAGCTCTTGTTATTTTTCTTTGTTAAAAATATTGGGGTTTTATTTATGTTAACATCTTGTCAGGGCCCACTTCAAAACCTCATCCCAAGAAAGCAGGACTCTTGGAACAGTTTCTTTCCAAAGAGGAGAAGCTAATAGCAGGCATGATAGGCAGGATCTGAGAGTTTCCTGCTCAGATCAATAGGTTAAAAGAGTCCCAAGCATAACCCCCCCCCCAATGGTTCATCCAGTCAGTTTGAATGGGCCAATCCCCAGGTTTAAGTCCGCTGTGGAAAAGGAACTGATAACAAGGTCCTTTCCCATGGTTGTGAAGATGTTGTTGGGTCTTCGCACCTTCCCTTCCACAGCAAGAGATAAGCCAGATGGCCAGAGGCACATTCCTTTCTCGCCCCATGGTAACATCAAGGGAGAGACAGTTCAAAGAGTAAGTATGTAGGAACATTGGAAAGGATACATTGTAGCAAAGCAGAATAACATACCATAGAGTCTTCCCCCCTCCCACTCAGGAGAATGGGAGAAAGAAATGAATTAGGAAAGAAGTGAGATAGATCCCCCCCCAAGGAAAGAATGGGTTCTGACGCATCTAATGGATTTATAATATGATTGATTCAGTAAATATTTTACAAATGCATCAAATTTAATTTTTAATATGGTAAATATCAACAAATATAACCCATTAAACAAAAGCCCTTTTTGGGTCCTCCATCATTTTTAAAGGTTGGAGTGGATCCTGAGAACAAAAAGTTAAGGAAGTTTTTCTTAGATTGAAAAGAAAGAGGTCACTAAACCTCAGAAGTCTGAGGAAAAAAATTCTGAATTTGTCAGTGTCATAGTTATCCACAAATGGACCACCTTCAAGGTTCCTTGCAACCCTATTTCGCAGAACCCTTACAAATTTGCTGTGCTGAGTCCAGGTGCAAGAGAATGCATGCAAGCACAATATGGTAGTCAAAAAATTACAAGATGTTTAGGAAATCGACTATACAGTGAGGAGAAATGGGCATTTGTTATATATTTATTTCAGTAGTGTTCCAATATTGTTGGTGGTCATTTGTGATAGTCATACAAAGTGCAGGTTGTTATTTTTCACTGGAACATTGAATTAGTCATGTTGAAATTGTGTTTATCTTGCACATTTGACCCTGTTACTTGCACTTTGGTCACTGATGAAATCTATTATATGCTTTAGCAATTGATCTAGTAAACACTGACAGGACATTTTATTCAGATGTGACTTCAGAAATGACTTCTTCAGAAGGAAAAGCATTTGTGTGTATTATGTTAGATATACAGCTTAGTGTAAACCAGTCCCTAAATGATAACTAAAACCTATTTGTGTCAATTATTTTTTCCCCTCAGATAACAAAGAGGTAGTTGGGTTCTTTAATTTGGAAATGAACCATGAAAAATATAGAATCCTCGACTTATGATCATAATAGAGCCCAACATTTCCATTGCTAAGCAAGACAGTTGTTAAGTGAATTTTGCCACATTCTTGTCACAGTTGTTAAATAAATCACTGCAGTTGTTAAGTTAGTAGCACAATTGCTAAGTGAATTTGGCTTCCCTTTTGACTTTGGTTGTCAGAAGGTCACAAAAGATGAGCAACATACTCCAGGCCACTGCAAACATCATAAATATGAACCAGCTGCCAAGGTCTGAATTTTGATCACATAACCATGTGAATGCTGCAATGGTTTTAAGTGCGAAAAATGATCATAAATCACTTTTTTCAGTGCTTCAAATAGTTACTAAATGAATAGTTGTAAGTCGAGAACTACTTGTACATTCATTGCAAATGAAAAATGACATCAAAAAAAATTACCACTTCCGAGGCAAGTTAAATGCTAAATTTTCAGTGACATAATAAATACAAATTAAAGAGGAGAAGAGGGAGAAAAATAGGTTGATCTTTTTATGCTCCAAATAGTTTAGTTTTTCTCAACCAGGGTATTTCTGGAGATCTTGGGATTTCATCTGAAATGTGAAAAACAATTGAGATTCCAACTATTTTTTTAAGTCTGCAAAGCAAGCACCACCTGTTCAAATTGCAGATTCATGGGATAATCTCAGGATCTTGGTGTCTTTAAAGGGGCCTTTGTGAATCAACAAAGGCAGGCTATATAGCCACGGTACATTGAAAAAGAAAAGTAGGGATGGGAATGAGAACTTTGAAAGGACTCTCCCACAGCCTTTCCTGGTTTCTTAGAAATTCTGCTTTTCTGGAACTAAAGGAGGAATTGACTTTTTTTTTCAGAACTTTTGGGGGAATTTTATTTATGTAATTTGATCCCACTTTTTATATTAAAAGCATCAAAGTGGATTTACTTGTTTAGAAAAGATTTTTTAAAAGCACCTTTAGGAGCACAAAGGAATTTTGCATTGCTGAAACCAATCTTAGCACCCAGTTGTGATATTTGCATCCAGTTCAATCTTCCCAGGTAGAGCAATTAAATAAATTGCAGGGGAGGTGCTGAAGGCAGAAAAATATATCACTTCCACTCTGGTCTAAACCTATTGCTTTGCTCATTGACTTCTGTCTTTCCCAATAGGATTTGATGTGTTTCCTTGTCTTCAGCTTGATTGAACCAATTAATTATCTCTGTCTCTTACCTTACTATTCTCTCGCTGCTAAAACATAATCTAACATGGATGGATCTTGTTCAAATTCAGTTCCTTTCTTCCTTTATAGCAGAGGTCCCCAACCTTTTGGGCATCAGCGACCAGTTATGTGGAGAGAGGTTTTTCTGCTGACTGGAGGGGGCTTGGTTTTGTGTTCTGCCTGCATCCCGCAGATGGGGCTTTGCTTCTTTGTGCGGCCCAGTTGCTGGCATGTCGCGGCCTGATACTGGTCCACAGACCCGGGGTTGGGGACCCCTGCTTTATAGCATTCAAAATTAATAGCACTTCTTGGGTTCTGGGTTTTAGGAAGCAATGGACATGACATATGCCTGCTTATCTCCCATCTGGCTGGTTGGATGTGCTCCAGTGATGCAGATCTTAGGCTGTTTGGGCAGATCCTTATTGATAGAAGCCCCTCTGGAGCTGATCTGAGATGACATACTGTAGCAGTCTGTTTATTCCAGGCCTCTACAAAGCTAAATTCATGTCTGAGACTCATGTAGCAATAAACAATTTTGTAGTTGGATTTTCTTAATATGTTTTTAGTAATGATAGATTCACTACATTCCAACTGGAATCTGAGTACACAATGAAGGAGAATATTTGTAGCTCCAGGTTGAAATAAGGGGTCCTTGGTGTGCTATGAGCTTGCTTGTTTTCTTGCAGATGTTTCATTACCCTAACTAGGTAACATCAGTGCTAGTAAGGAGTGCTGTTTGCTCTCAATTTATAGTCAGGTGTCTTGCCTGTCTGTGTGGGTGGGTGGGGGCGGTCTTAGGGATTCTTTGGTTGGGCTGTTTACTAATGGCTCTGTTGTAGTTTCTTGACTGGGATATTGCTTACTTGACTGTTGGTCTGAAGTTGATCTTGGAGCTAATCTATGCTGATCTGAGTGCTGATTACTGGTGAGGAGGTGCTGGTGTCTTTTTCTCTTTTGGGCTGGTTGATTGTCTCTTTTGCATAATCTATAGATGTTGTTAATGTCTTTGTGTCTATTGATGGCTGATTTGTCAAAGTACCAGGCTTCTAGAAATTCCCTGGCATTTTTGGATTTGACCTGGTCTAGGATTGTCACATTTTCCCAATTGAAACTGTGGTTAAATCTGTCTATATCAGTGGTTCTCAACCTGTGGGTCGGGACCCCATTTGGGGTCGATTGACCATTTCATGGGGGTCGCCAAGCAAGGCTGTCCACCATTTTTTTGTCCGCCATTTTTTTTGTCCGCCATTTTTTCCCCCTTTTCCAGCGGGTGCCTTACCTCCCTTGGGCTGGGCCAGCTGGTGGTCGGCCTGCTCCGTCTCTGCCGCTTGCCAGCTACACCTCGGCCGGGACAGGGGGCGGAACCACGCATGCGCGGCGCTCCCGGGCAGGGAAAGTCCTCGACTTACGACCGGTTGGGTAGTCCTCGACTTACGACCGGTTTAGTCCTCAACTTACAACCGGTTTAGTCATCGACTTACGACCGGTTTAGTCCTCGACTTACGACCGGTTGGGGTCGCGGCATTAAAAAGGTTGAGAGCCACTGGTCTATATGTTGTGAAATTAAAGAATTTTTGTCATGCCTTTTGACTGCCAGTTGGTGTTCATGGATGCATTCTGCCAGTCTTCTGTCTGTTTGTCCTACACAGTGGTTGTTGCAGCAACAAATTTGGCACTCTGACAAATCAGCCATTGATAGACACAATAGTAATCAGCACTCAGATCAGCATAGATTAGCTCCAAGATCAACTTCAAACAGCACTCCTTACTAGCACTAATGATGTTACCTAGTTAGGGTAATGAATCTGCAAGAAAGAAAGAAAGCTCAGGGAGCACCAAGGACCCCTCAATCTGAGCACAGTTTGGCACTCGAGTGCTTCAAAACTCATCGAATTTGGTATTCAATGTGTTTTGGAGCAGAAATCTTGTCCTGGTGCTTGTCTTTCTCCTGGTAGTCAATATGCAAGGAAGAACTTTCTGATGTCAGCTGCCTCGTGACTCGCTATTTCTTGTAGATGAAATGGTAAGTAACGTGGTTTTCTCAGTACCCGTTGGTTTTGGTATTTGGCACATCTTCTGAAATGGATTACCGATGAGACTGAGGTACTACTATATAATTAATGATAAAAGTGTTTGCATGCTTGGTTGCATTATTTCTGGAGCCCTTTTAGAGAGCAGTCAATATTGTCCATGAGAAGGATTGTAGTTGAGGCCATAGTGTATGGCCAACACTCAGACTCAATATTCCAGGAACTATTCCAGATCCTTGGAAATAGAGGGTCATAGGAAAACCTAGGGCACTGAAGAGAATAGGTCTTCTTCTTCTTCTTCTTCTTCTTCTTCTTCTTCTTCTTCTTCTTCTTCTTCTTCTTCTTCTTCTTCTTCTTCTTCTTCTTCTTCTTCTTCTTCTTCTTCTTCTTCTTCTTCTTCTTCTTCTTCTTCTTCTTCTTCTTCTTCTTCTTCTTCTTCTTCTTCTTCTTCTTCTTCTTCTTCTTCTTCTTCTTCTTCTTCGTTCAACTCAAGATAGTGTATATAATGCTTCTGCTGCTATTTTCTCTGCAATAATGGCCATGAGAAAATTGGGAAGGAGAGTGCAGGTACTACTCAGGAACCTTTGAAGACTTTTTGTCTGTAGCCTCTACAAATGTTGTAATGATCATCCAGAGTTGAAGGACAGAGCCTACTGCCCCTCTGCCCCCTCCTCTGATGACTAGTGGAGTGGTGGCAGGCTTGCTTCTCTACAAAAACATAGGAAACCAATATCAACCTTTAAACTTTCAAAAATAGGACCTAGGGCAGGGGTGTCAAACTGCCATCATACCGAAGCCACCCCCACCCCATTGCTGGCAATGCAAAAAGAGTTGCTATACGTCACGTGATATGGCAAGTTTGACACCCGTGACCTAGGAGGTTTTCCATTCACACATTGCATAAAGCTCTGTGTCAGTAGGTAAGTTGGTGTAAAATGCACATCCCATTTTTAAAAGAAGACTCCTTATAGCAGAATTTTTAAGTATTGAAATAATCTGATTTTTTAAAATGCTAATTTTGTAATTATATTTGTCTACACTGATAAGTATTTATTAATTATGTATTTATTGGAATTACTTATAGTTTATTAAGAAGTTTTACAATGAAACCTGGGAAAGAAGATATAACCAGTCAATTACTGAACAGTCACTTACATTGCTATGGACTTTATCTGTCTCCATTTTTGCTATTGGTGGACTTGTGGGTGCATTAATTGTTACTCCAGCTGTCAAGTATTTTGGTCGGTAAGCATTATATTGAAAACAATACTATGCAATATATATATTTCTTTTAATGGATGATAAAAAAAAAATGCTCCTCTAACTGATATTATGGCACCTGCATTTAAAATACAAAGTAAAATGCTTCCCATGATAAAACAGTTGTGATTAATAGCAAGTAATAATGTATGCAATGTAATTTTGTATAAATTGGGCTTTTTAGGGAAAAAAAGTCTTCTCTTGCTTTTAAAAATATTGTTTAGAAATCTAAAGTAGCAATCTGTCTGTGGGACTGAGCTATCACAGTTTTTGCATCTCTTTGCTGCCATCTAGTGGCTGTCTAGTTATAGGAGTCCTATTTGTGACAAAATTATAATAAGCCCTACAAGACTGTCCTGATATATGGATCATAATTCTACTCAAAGCAAGTGCAGGAGGCTTGGTTTATATCCTATACCAGGGGTCTGCAATCTTAAACACTCAAAGAGCCACTTGGACCCGTTTCCCAGAGAAAAGAAAATACTGGGAGCCACAAAACATGCGTGCGCGCGTGCGAGGGGGGAAAAAACCTTGATTGTAGAGTTTAATTAAAAAGAAATAGAGGCTGCTGTGCATGAGTTCTCTCTCTCTTTCCTCTCCCTCTCTCTCTCTCTTTCCTCCCTCTCTCCCTCTCTCTCTTTCTCTCTCTCCTTCCTCTCCCCCCTCTGTTTCTCTCTCTCTTGCTCTCTTTCCTCTCTCTTTCTCTTTCCTCTCTCTCTTTCTCTCTCTTTCCTCTCTCTCTCCCTCTCTCTCTCTTTCCTCTCCCTCTCTCTTTCCTCTCTCTCCCTCTCCCTCTCTCCCTCCTCTCTCCCTCTCTCCCTCTCTCTCTTTCCTCTTTCTCTCCCCCCCTCTCTCTTTCTCTCTCTTTCTTTCTCTCTCTCTTTCTTTCCTCTCTTTCTCTCTCTCTTTCTCTTTCCTCTCTCTCTCTTTCTCTCTCTCTTTCCTCCCCCTCTCTCTCTTTTCCTCTCTCTTTCCTCTCCTCTCTCCCTCCCTCTCTCTCTTTCTTCTCCCTCTCTCTTCCCCCCCCCTCTCTCCTCTCCCTCTCTCCCTCTCTCTATTTCTTTCTCTCTCTCTCTGTTGTGTCCTGAGCCTGCAAGAGGCAGGCTCGGGATGTTGCAAGAGTCCCGGGCATTTGCAGAAGCTGCCCGGGACCAGACTGAGCGGCGCCGGCCTTGTGCGCATGCGCAAGGCGGGAAAAGACCGCCTCATGATTGGTTGAACTTGCCCGGGGATCAGAAGGTATAAATAGAGGCCTGCGTGCCTCTGCTCGGGTTGTTCGTAGAATGGAAGCAGAGAATAAAGACTTGTTAGAAATGCTTCATCTCAAGCGCCATTATTCTCCGGACTTAACACTGGCGACGAAGGTGGGATTCAGTCTATACAGCTAGGAAAGCTTGAAGACTCACCCAAAGAAGTCCGGAAGAGAAAACGGCGTGGAAGTCAGCGTTATCCTGCCAGTACGAAATCGCTGGAGGGTGCGTGCGGCTGAAGAAGAAGAAAATCTGATCCTCGATCATGGCGAAAGTTGGGCGTTTAGCGGAATTCGACGTCTCTCACCCCGAGAGGTGGGAATCTTATGTGGCAAGAGTCGAGACGTATTTCCGTATAAACCAGATTCGGGAGGAAGGCTTAAAGGCTGCCACATTGTTGTGCATTTGTGGGCAAGACGCCTTTGAGATCGCTGAGAGCTTAATCTCCCCGGACTCGCTGGAAACGGTATCATACTCCGACCTGAAGAAAACTTTAAAGGAACTCTCCAGCCCAAGCAATCTGTCATGGCTTGGAGGCACACATTTCAACAGAGAGATCAGCGAGTTTCGAGAATCAGCAAAAGACTACGTTGCGGCCTTGAGAAGAGCAGCTAAACCGTGCGACTTCAAGGACTTAGAGGAAAGACTGCGCGATCGTTTTGTGTGTGGACTGAGGAACACAGAATTACAACAGAGGCTGTTCGCCAGGGAAGATGTCTCCTTCCAAGATGCTCTGCAAGAGGTTTCGGCTGAAGAAGCTGCCGGTGGGGCGGTCAAGAACATGCGGCCTAAGCGAAACGTTCCAGAGACCGCCACTATTCACAAGGAAGACGTGCGCGAGGATTCGGACGAAGATCCTGAAGAAGAGGTGGACAAGCTTTACCAAGCAGCTGGAAGGAGGTCCAAAGATCGTCAGGAAAAGGGCCCAGCTGAGCTTCATTGCCTCGGATGTGGTGGACGCCACAAGCGAGCGGAATGTCGGTTCCGTTCCGCCATCTGCCGAGCGTGCGGAAAGAAGGGCCACATCGCTGCGGTCTGCCTGGGTCGACAGAAGGTACAACCGAAGGAAGAATTGAATCTGAAAGGTACCAGGGTTCCCAGCCAAAACAGGGTGGGGTTCTGTGCAACACGCCGGAACATTTTAAGAATAGGCACACACAAACCCCTTAAAAAGAAACTAACACTTAAAGTGAAATTGCAGGGAATTCCATTATCGATGGAACTTGACATGAGGTCTGCCCTATCCATAATCTCCCTCAATACATTTCACAAAATCTGCAGCAGCAGTGGCCAGAGAGTTTCGTTAAGGCCCTCTAATGTAATCCTTACGGATTTCCAAAATTCTCAAGTGTGCGTTAAGGGGGAGGCCACCCTTAAGGTACAGTACAAGAATTTTGCAGGCCCCCTAGACGTGTTGGTTGTGGGGGGGTGAGCGAACGAGTCTCATTGGACTCGATTGGTTTGAGGCCTTGGGAATTCAGGTAACAGGGCTAAATAAATTGCAAACACAGACCCTTGCAGACGTATGCAAGGAGTTTGCAGATGTGTTCAGTTCTGAACTAGGGTCCTACACAGGACCTCCTGTTTCACTTAAGTTGGATCCAAC